TGGCCGGACAAGCGGTGCGTCGGTGTGCGCCCGGGATCCGAACCCAGGCCGCCGGTAGTGGAGCGCGCGCACTTAACCGCTAAGCCACGGGGCCGGCCCTGTGCCTATCTTTCTCCACTTTATATGGGACGCCGCCACAGCATGGCATGACAAGCAGTGCCTCGGTGCGCGCCCGGGATCCGAACCCGGGCTGCCAGCAGTGGAGTGTGCACACTTAACCGCTATGCCATGGAGCTGGCCCCATTCGTTGCCATAATTTTTAATGGCCCTCCAATTTGCCATTGAGTGAATAGCCATCATTTATTTTACTATCCCCTACTGTTGGACATTTATGTTGTTTCTAATTTTTTACAAATATAAATATCACAGCATCGAACAGCTTCCTTAAAATCCTGGCTTAGAAGACACAGTCCTTTTGAAAGCTTTTGACACGTTGCCAAAATGTTCTTTGGGAAAGTTGTGCCAATTTACAGTCCCCCCGACAGAGTGAGAGATAGTCCCCTCTGCAACCCCAAATGAGTGAGCACATGGGACCCTTATGTGGTAACATATTGCGGCTGAGCTCTCTGGAACTCTACATGATGTTAGAAAAATTCTGTGCCAAGTGTCAAATGATGAAATATTCAACAGTATATATTGAGAGCCCTAAAAATGTTTGTACTCCCTGATATAGTAATTCCACACCTGGGCATCCATTCAAAGTACACAATCCCAAACAAAGACAAAGTTTTACATATCAAACATGCATTGCATATTTATAATGGTATTTAGTAAATCATGGCACATCCATAAAAAGGAACCTTAGGCAGCCATTAAAATGATGTTTATGATGGTGTTCAACAATATGGGAAAATGCTTCAGCTAGAAGTGAGCTGAGAAGGGCAGGGTATAAAATTCTATGTAGAAATGACACCCATTGTGTAAAAACTATGCATGGAAAAGAGACTTGGGGGATAGATTAAAAATATTGGAAAGAGGGGCCGGCCCCGTGGCTTGGCGGCTGAGTGAGTGTGCTCCGCTGCTGGCGGCCCAGGTTCGGATCCCGGGCGCGCACCGATGCACCGCTTCTCTGGCCATGCTGAGGCCACGTCCCACATACAACAACTAGAAGGATGTGCAACTATGACATACAACTATCTACTGGGGTTTTGAGGAAAAAAAAGGAGGAGGATTGGCAGTAGATGTTAGCTCAGAGCCGGTCTTCCTCAGCAAAAAAAAAAGAGGTGGATTAGCATGGATGTTAGCTCAGGGCTGATCTTCCTCACACAAAAAAAATATGTATATTGGAAAGAAATCAATCAAAATGTTAATAGTTGAAAAACAGTTAACAGTTGTTGCATTTTGGGAGAGGTTTTTCTTCTTTTTCACATTTTCCTGTATTGTTCAGAGGATGGTTTTTAAAACTGAAAGCATTCATTCATTCAGCAAGTGTTCATTGATTACCTACCACTGGGCCATGTGGGAGATATGGAGGGGGACCAGGGTGCCTGTTCACAGGAGGAAATTAACCAGGAGGGAGTGAGGTGGGGAGGGAGTGGAGGCCAATTCTGAGACTGGACGATGGGGTATGGGGTACACAATGCGGGGTGCCCCCTATGAGAGCAAGAGTGAAGGCTCACCTTCTGCCTGGCCTCTGTGTAGGTCTCGCCATACTTCTGCTGAAGGTACCGGTAGTCGTAGTTTGGGAACGGGGAGGGGCTAGGGAAGCTCCCGGATGTCCAGAGCTTCCACAGGCTCACGGCTGCAATTGCCAGCAGCGCCAGGGCCCCGGCAGCATAGACACCGACCTCCCAGTCAGGGGGACTCTTGATGACTACGAGGGAAGAGCAGCCTCTCATTAGTGGACCCTGAGGCCCTCAGTGGTTACAGACGCCCACCCAGGGAGCAGGTAGTTCAGCACTGACTTACTTATTCATTGAACAAATATTTACTGAGTGCCTACTATGTGCCAGGCTCAGTGCTAGGTGCTGGGGATCCAGTGTTGAACAAGACATACACAAGAAATCTCTGTGATTTCTGCTTCTATCCCCTATTGCACAAAAGCATACATTTCTACCAGAAGTGACACTTGGCTAGAGCAGATGAAGAGCTGTGAACAATGGTTAAATATTCACTAGGCTTTAAACAAATAGGGTTGTTTTGCCTCTTTGAGTTCTCTGACCTCATAGCCTTCAGAGGATCTCTTGCTTCCGGACAATCAAAGCAGTCTTTTGGGGTCTGGGGGAAGAGGTAGGAGATTTGGGGGAGAAAATGACCCCATTTTTGCCTCAAACCTTATCTAGAGCAACTCAGTGTCCATCAACTGATGAATGGATAAATAAATGTAGTACATCCACACAATGCAATATTATGCAGAAATAAAAAGGAATGAAGTACTGATACACATTACAACACGGATGAACCTTGAAAACATTACGCTAAGTGAAAGAAGCCAGTCACAAAATACCACATGTTCTATGATTCTACTTATATGAAAAGTCCAAAATAGGCAAATCTATACAGACAGAAAGCAGATTAGCGATTGCCAGGGGCTGCGAGGAGTAGGGGGGAATGTGGAGTATGGGGTTTCCTTTTGGGTGATGCATATATTCTAAAAATGGATTGTACTGATGGTTGCACAGTATACTAAAGTCCACTGAATTATATACTTTAAGTGGGTGAATTTATGGCATGTGAATTTTCTCTCAATGAAACTGTTACCAAAAAAAAAAAAAAAACTTCAGCCGGAAGTGAGAGGCGGCTGCCGGCTGTGCAGGGCTTGGGGACAAATCCAGATGCTCAAATGCTTTTTGTCCACTGATGAGTAAATAACTTGTCTCATCTGAGCCTCACTATCCCCAGCAGAGAAATTAACTACCCCTCACCCGTGTTGGGTGTATCCTCACCTAGCACAGCGCTTGGCTCAGGGCAGGACCAGACACATCGAAAGGCCCTCCTCACTCTACCTGGAGACCTGGCTCTGCTTTCCCAAATGAAGCCAGTGAGATAGTGGGATCATTTTGCAGGAAGTTACACTGTTGGCAAATACCATTCTCCAAACCATTCCCAGTGTTGCCTCTATACTCAAGACAAATGGGCAACTGAGGCACACAAAGAACCTGCCCGAGGTCACAGAGCCAGAAAGGGGTGGTACTGGGATTCCAACTCTGGCAGCCCAACTCCAGAGCAAGCAGGGGTAACCACCTCCCCATCCGGACTTGACCCACAGTGCTTCCCTAGTAGCAGGGTGGACAGAGGTGTGGAGGGCATTTCAGGGGTGGAGACTTATCATCGCACATCCATTGAGCACCTACCGTGTGGGAGCACCCTGTGGAGCAAGTCAGCCCCAGGCCCAGTCCCTGTCCTTAAGGAGCTCACAGTCTAGGGCGTGGGCTGGGCAAATAAATAGACAAAACAGAGTGATGGGCATCGTGATGGGAACAGTCCAGGAGGGCTTCCTGGAGGAGGGACATCTAAGCTGAGATACGAAGGAGGAGCAAGAAGTGTGCCAGGCCAAGGTACCAGGGACTGGGAGTTTAGGGCAGGAAGAAAGGGGGGTGTACAAAGCCCAGAGCATTCAGAGTGCCCGGTGGGAGAAAGGGAGTGGGGCGTTTGGGGCTGGAGGGGTTCCTCGCCACTACTCCCTGAAGCCCAGCCGCATAGGGAGGAATCATGCAGCAGTGGCAGCCCCTCTGGCAGAGGGGGGCCTCAGCCTGCCCCTGCTCTCCTGAGCCCAGCCAACTCTAGCCAGAATCCACAAGACTAACTCACTCCGGAGAAGGGCAGAGCCCAGCCTTCAGCCCCGGCATTTTTCCAGCACTTAGCAGCCTATGAGGTCCCCACCTCCACTTTCTGGGGGAGAACTGAGGCTGAGGGGCTAAGGAACATCTATTTATCAGCTCAAGGCCACGGCGGGGGAGAAATGCAGAGCCTGGGTGCTCGTTCCTTGGCTCCTCTGCAAGCCACCTAGTGTATCTGGGCTTCACTCTCCTCGTCCAGAAAAAGGAGATGACGACAAAAACGTCCCCCATCCAGTGGTTCCACCAGGAAAATTTATTCTAAGGGAAAAATCCCAACAAGTTTTACGTCTGGTGAGTCATCGAGGCTGTATTTATAACAGCAGAAATCCGGAAACAGCCTGGAGGTCTGACCGAGGGGGCCGGTGGTGCTGTCTTCGGAGGGAATGTCATCGGCCTTACAGAATGACAATTGAGGTCATTAGGATGTCAGTGTGGCAATGCAGAGAAACGCTTCGGGCATTGTTAAGGGAGAAAAAAAAATCAATCCTCAACATGGTATAACCACACGATTTTGATGTAAAACTCACACAGCGTATGGACAAGTGCTGGGCGGCCCAGGGAAGGAGAAGAGCGAGAAGTCAGGATGGAGGGACTGTGAGCAAACCCTATTTATTCCTGACTTCTGTTGCTAAAAGGTAACTTGTGGGCTAAATAAAACCACAACAAAGATCAACAGAGGGGCCCAGGGCCAGACCTGACGACTCTCGGAAAGTCCTGGGAGTCTGTGAATAGGGGACGGGATGGGAAAGGACCTGGTAAACTGCAGAGTGAGGTGCACACGAGCAGCTCCTGCTGAGATGTGCACGCTGCCCCAGCTGGCTCACAGCAGGGCCTGGGTGCTAGCAGGGGCGGGCACAGAGGCCTGAGGTCCGAGCAGGTGGCAAAGCAGAGCCAGGCTCCCCTGAGAATGAGGACCCCAGGGGGCTGGGGGACTGAAGCAGAAAAGGGGGGCAGGGCCAGGTACACAAAAGGAAAAGCCCCAGGCAGGTAACAGGAAAGAGACAATTAATGCTCATTTATTTATTCATTTTATTGAATACCAGCCTGGGGACAGTGTGGGAAGAGTCCCCAAGGCAAGTGAGGTCTAAGCTGAGACCAGAAAGGAAGAGGAGGAGGAATCTAGTGATAATAGCTTCTCTTACTGTTCACTATTCGCCAGGCCCTATTCCAAGCACTTCATGTATACGAACGCACTGAGCACTCAGGACAACCCTGGGAGGAAGGCTCTATTACTGTCCCCATTTTACAGATGAGGAAGCCGAGGGAGAGAGGAGATATTTGCTGCCAGACAACCTGCTCCAGATCTGAGCTTGTAACCTCCACACGGGTCACAAGGACCTAGCCAGGCGGAGGCAGGGAAGCACTCCTGGCAAAGGCCTGGAGTTGGGAGACTGTTGTGTTCGCATGGTGCTGGGTGCTCAGTGAATCTTCCCAGCATCCTTGAGGCCGGTCTCACTGCCCCCATTTTACAGAGGAGTCAGTGGAGGCTCAGAGAGGTTTCTTCACTTGCCCAAGGCCATGCCGGGCCCTGGGCCAAGACCTGTGGGCCTGCAGATGAAAAGTGAGAAGGCTGGCTGTTGGATGGGAAAGGGGGTCCCTGGTGCTCCCTTCAGCTCAGCCCCGGGCTGGCTGGGGGCTGTGCTAAGGGAGGAGCTGGGGTGATGGGAGCACCGGCCGAGGAGTCAGGAGACCTGGGTTCATGTCCTGACCCTGTTACTTACTCACGGTCCCCTTCCCTCGCTGAGCCTCCCGTCTTCCATCTGTAAGTGGGGAGGGGACATAAGAAGAAAAGATGGGAGTATATTTCAGCTCTGACACCATCCACCATCAGTTGGAGTGTGTCTGGTGTCTTGAGGCCGTTCCCAAGCTCAGCGCCCGCCGGGGCGCACAGGGGAAGGCGGGAGCTGGGTCCCAGGTATTTGCCATCCCTGCACTGGGCAATCTCCAAGTTTAATGTCCCGTGGATCTAACATTGACCTTCCTGGGCTTCCTCTCACTTGGCCACTTGACAGCCTCCAGGAATGGCCGTAGGTGAGCAGATTCTGCATCACAGCTGATCCTGAGGGAGCAGTGGGACATGGGCCCTCCTGGGAGATCCCCTCAAGTCAAACAGAGGGAGTCGCTTCCACAGGAAGGAGCCACTGGAGCAGAAAGATGAGGAGACCTCAGACTGGTCCCAGCCTGGTGTCCCCAAGGCTGTGTGACCTTGGGCAAGTCACTGATTGTCCTTACCAGTAAAACAGGGCCATTATTGGCGTCCCACAGACACTCCCCACCCCGGGTTTGGTGGGAGGGTCCTGTGAGATGACATGCTTGCCGCTGGGACTCACCGCTCAGGTGGTATTCCGCCACGTCCACGGCCATGATGCCTGCTGCAGTGGCTGAGACTGGAGAGGAAAAGAGAGTCAGCGGAGGGGGCTGCAGAGGGTCACCAACCCTGACCCTATGCCCTGGCCTCCCAGGCGCCCGTGCACCTGTCATCCGGAGCGCACACTCAGCTGTGAGGGGGGCCCAGGCACAAGTAGGTGGTTTTTAAAGTAGCATTTAAAAAAATAGTGTTTAAAGCTCTTTTTCAAGCACTCCAAGAGTTGCCAGATAAAACACAAGTGACATTTGAAGTTGCCTGGAGTACTTTCCTGCCTCTGCCTGGTTAAGTCCTCGCCAGTGACATTTAAGTTTCAGACTCGTTTTTAGTATAAGTATGTCAAAATGCTGCATGGGACATACTTACACTAAAAAATTATGCATTGTTTATCCGAAACTCAAAAGTTACTGGGCTTCCTGTATTTGTATTTGCTAAATCTGGCACCCCTACCTCATTTCCATCCTATGAACAACAGGCTGATCAGCAGCGACTCTGTTACTCATTAGAGCGGGTCCCTCAGGGTGCTCACTAAGACTTCCTTCAGATGCTTTTGTCTAAATTGGAAAGGACAGGCTGCCTTTCTGCAACATTCTAGCATCTGTCTCTCCACTCCCAAATTTTATGAACCACTGAAGGTCTACGTTGCTCTAGAAAGGTCTGGGAGCTCATACAAGCCATTACCTGAACCCAGGTGACTACTTGTAGTTTTATTATTGCTGTTGCTAAGAAGTAAATCTGGCTCACAGATGTGTTCTAATGGGGGGGGGGCGGGTGTTGAAAAAGGGAGGCTGGGATGAGCTGTGTCACTCTCAGTTCAAGGGACACGGAAGGGCAGGATAACTCCCAGCCCAACCTCTGTGTTCTCTCATAGTTCAGCGAGGTGGTTATGAACCAGTGAGGTAAACGGGGGAGCTGGGAGGGGGGAGGGTAGGGTAAGAACTGCAGAATGCTTGCCCACCCCAGGGGGAATGCCAACCCGGCCCTGACGAATCTTCCGGTTCTTTAAAGAAAAGCCAGATACCTGGATTTTTTATGTGCAGTTTCTTGATTTTTAAATGGTGCAACCAATTCACAAAAAATGTAAACACCATTTAGGCACAGTGTAAAAAGACCCCGGGCCGTGGCTAGCCCATTTGCAACCCCTTGAAGCATTCTGTTGATGTCTTTTTTGTGTGTGTGTGAGGAAGATCAGCCCTGAGCTAACATCCATGTGAATCCTCCTCCTTTTTTTTTTTGCTGAGGAAGACTGGCTCTGGGCTAACATCCGTGCCCATCTTCCTCCACTTTATATGGGCCGCCGCCACAGCATGGCCTGGCAAGTGGTGCATCGGTGCGCGCCCGGCATCCGAACCCGGGCCGCCAGAAGCAGAGCGCGTGCACTTAACTGCTACACCACGGGGCCGGCCCCTGAAGCACTCTGTTGACTCTTTTTGGGATTGGGGTCAAATCAGGGGTGAGCATTTTCAGGAATCCTAGGGTTCTCCCCAGTCTGTGGCTTTGAAGCCAAGTTGGGGTGCCCTGATCCAGATAGGGTCATCTAGCACATTGGGGAGTGCCATTAAGTCCCAGGCCAGGAGGCCTCAAGAGGCAGGGCAGAACAGGGCCCTGGGGCGAACCCCTGCCAGGGGCCCAGCTCCTCCGATGATGCCCCACTCCCACAGTGAGATGCGGGTTGTCACGGTGATGGGAGAGCAGTGCTAACCACCAAGGGCTCCACCCATGCTGACTTGAGTGGAAGCTCATTTCTGGGACCTGTGCTGGAGATCACGATAATGATAGTTAACCTTGCTAAGCACTTCTTCCACCCAAGCGAGGCTCTAAGCACTTTGCATATATATGACCTCATTTAATCCTCTAACAAGCCCATGAGGTAGGTACTATTATTATCTCTGGTTTGTAGGGAAGAGTCCTGAGGCATGAAGGTAAAGTCCTTTGCCCCGGGCCACACAGCTAAGAAGGTGTTCAACCCAGGCCATCTGGCTCCACGCTCCTAACCCCTGTGCCTCACCGCAGGCCGGCACATGGTTTCAAAAGTTTCCTAAGAACCTTCAGGCCAAACTGGGCACTTGTACAAGCCCAAGGTGGCCCTAGTTCTCGGCAGAAGGGGGTCTGGACACACTGAAATACACATGTTAACGAGAATACGCATGCCCCAGCCTGCCTCTGCCTTGCTAGGAATCCACTAACGCCATCAGCTTTCTTTCCTGCTCACCTGGCACAAGTCGATTTCATGAAAGTGAGGCCGCTCTGGCACAGCCAATGCCGGCAGCATGCTAGCACGGGGTGGGTACACCCCTGCAGCAAGTACACGTGGTACGAAACAGAACCCGGATCTGCTGTTTCAGACCCTGGCTGTCCAGGGGCCCCCATCCGTCCAAGGCCAGTCCAGCTCAGACCCCAGACTCCCACACTGCCCACCTCTCCCCCTGCCCTCATCACAACACCTTTGCCTGGAGGCTGTGATTTCAGTGAAGGTGTGAATGACTCTAGGTACCAGAATGACTTCTGGCCCCAGCCAGAAGTTCCCACAGGGGTCCCCTGTGAAGGGGCAGAAGCCTGACAGGAGGGAGGAGAGAACTTGGGGGGAGACGCCCAGGCTCGGGGGGTGGGGGGTAGGGGGCAGCCTGAGCACACGGTTTGGGGTCAGCTGCGCCCTCACTAGCTCAGAGTCTCGGTTGTCTCATCTGTAAAACCAGGCTCATGACTGCCCTATCGGGATGGAAGGAGAAGTGTGGTTGGGCGTGGCAAATACTAGCTGCCATGGTGATTGGCCTGGCAATGGTCCAAAAGGCCCCTTAACCCTGAGTGGGAACCGTGGGATCACGTGGGCAGCACTGTCAGCCTGCACATGTGTTTTGTCTTAAAGTGAGTTGCCAACATTTAAAAACGGGGAAATTTTCCATTAAAAATGGATTTCTAAAAAAAAAAAAAAAAAGATGGATTTCCAGTTTCCCTTTAAAAGTTAGAAGATCTGGGGACAGTGGGTCTATATGCCCCCTTCCCTCCCCCACAAAATAGCCAGAGCTGGAGCACAGTAGGCTCTGCCCCTTTAGACAGGGCATTTGCTTTGCAGACCTGGCACCTCCCACCCCTCCATTCACTTCCAGAACCTGCTGGCCCCTGGAAGCATTTCTGTTCATGAGCCTGGTAAGCAGGCCTTCAGATGAGCCAAGGTGGGTTCAGAAAGGCTAAGGGACTTGCCCAAAGCCACACAGCCAGCAGTGGTGGAGCTGGGCCTGGCAGCCAAGCTTGCCACCCAGTCCAGTGCCTCTTCTATTAGTAGCCACCGCCCCCATGCCAAGGACTTCACATGTGTCTTCCTCATCACCTCCCGAAGACCCCTGTGGGGCACATCCTATTATTAACCCCACTCCACAGAGGAGAGTGAGGCTCAGAGAAGGGCAGTGGATTTGTCCAAGGTCACCCAGCCAGTAAGCAGAGAGCTGAGACGGAGCCAGATCTGGCTCAGCAGCGAGTGCCCTTCTTAATGGCTTTACTCACTTTTCCTGGGACCCCCTGGCTCCATCTCACCAACTACGACAACCTCAGCAGGCTCCGCAGGCAGCTTGGAGGTCTGCCAGGCAGAGGGGCTGAGGCTTCGGCTGGGAACAGGGTGCTGACAAGGCACATCTGAGGCCAGGGCAGCCTGTGACCAGAGCTTCCCCGAGCTTCTGACACACAGGAAATGGGTCACAGCAGGGGTGAGCCAGAGCTGCCCCAAACCACATCTGAGCCCCTCAGATGCAAGGCCCCTTCCTCGGCCCCTTCCCCACCCAAACCCTAAACCACATGGAGCTTGCTCACTGAAACAGCTCTCGGTTCAAATCCCGGCTTAATCATACTTACCTGGCAATACCTACCAATTGCTGTAAGAATTAGACACAATATATGCTAAACGCTCAGCACAGTGTCTGGCCCGTAGCAGGTACACGATACAGGACTGATCAGTGAATGGACAAATGGATCCCCATTTTACAGATGAGGAAGCTGGGGCCCTGGGGCCCTCAGCATACGAGCAGCCACACTGGGATTGGCGCCAAAGTGCCATGGATCTGAGCCTGGGCTCTTGGCCACCATGCCACCTCCCGACCAGGCCTTTCGGGGGTGGAGGTGGGTGGAAAGAACAGCCACTGGCCTTACTGGAATCTGAACACTGCCGAGGCCCCCTCCGGGGCTTGTCAGACAAAGGGCTTTCCAGGAATTCTGTGCGTCTGCAGGGGAAAGGGGCCCCATGTCTCTGCTCCTCCCAACTGATTTCCTTGATCACCATGTCCCCACATCACATCTCTGGCCAGTAAGGTGTTGGCCCCTACCCTCACCCTGAGACCAGCAGGTAAGAGGAAGGATCAGGGGGTGGGTACAGGGCAGTCCTCAACCTCCCAGGCTTCCAGCCTCTTTGGGCTCTGTAGGTTTGAAATCCTTTTCAAGCGCTCCCCTCCCACCCCAGGCCCACAGAAACCACAGTACCGACGGGCTAGGGTTGTGGTGGCTGGCATTCATTGCGTACCTATGTGCCAGGCACGGTACCAAGGACTTGCTGTGTTATTTCAGCAAATCCTCCCTGCTGCCCTCTGAAGGGGCTGCTGCTCTGTCCACTGCACTAGTAAGAAAACCAAGGTGCAGGAAATGACTTGCCCATGTCACCAGAACTGACAAGAGGCACAGTCCAAGCTTGAACCCCAGCCTGGGAGCCCCTACTCTCCCAAGCTACTTGGGGAAGGTGTCAGAGTTCAGAGAGGGGAGGCAGGAGGCTTGGGTACTTGCTGTGACTCTTCTCTAGACTGGCGGGGTTAACTTGGGTAGATCTCCTGCCCCCTCTGAGCCTCAGTTTCCCATTTCTAGTAGGAAGCACAACCGCTGCTGCTCTCCAGACCTGTCAACCCCTGGCTGGGGAAGGGACTGACATTCCAGCGTGCAGGTTTCCCAGGCACTTTGGGGTGGGGGTGGCCTCAATGACTGATGAGGGGAGCATGCAGTCCCTCTGCAGCCCCCGGAAGAGGGGTTACCTGGATGCCTGACTCAGGGCTCCTCCACCCACAGGCCTGGCTCCAGGCTCTCACATTCGGCCCCATCCCCTCTTCAGCCCAAATCTACTCTCCCAAAGAGCAGCATCATCAAAGGTTCCCAGGAGCCCCTGGAGAGCCCCGCACCCAGGCCGGCGACACCGGACAGAGGCTGAGGATCCTCTCCCGAAATCCTGGAGCCTCCTGGAGATGGGGTGCCACATGCCTCTCAGGACTGAGGCATCTCCTGAAGACCCAGCACCTCCACCGCGGGAAACCCCAGGGTATATGGGGACCGGAGTGTGGCGGGCTGACCCCGGAGCCGGTAGGGGGTGTGAGGCGGCGTGGGGGCAGTCAGGGTGCTGAGTGTGAACGAGAGGGGCGTGTGTGCAGCGCGGGCGCCCGGGAGGCGTGTAAATGGCCGGGTGAGCCGCGTGTGTGCACACGCGGGGCGGGCGTGCGGGGCGCGATGCGATGCGCAGTGCGCGGAGTGGCCCGACCAGGGAAGGGCGCACCGGGCGTGCGTGTGCAAGCGCGGCGCGGGTGTGCGGTCCGCGCGGGTGTGCAGATGCGCAGGTGTGTGCGTGGAGCCCGGGGGTCCGCGCGCCAGGCGCCTACCCCGGCCGTGCGCGGGGGGCGGCCAGGTGCGTACTCACCCCGGCTCCGCCGAGGGGCCGCCGCTCCCGCTCGGGCTCCGACTTGGGCTCCGGGTTCCCGGCCGGCCTCCCGCAGCGCGCACGCACCGGCGTCAAGCCCA